AACTACTTTACTCATTTGCTCATTTTACGAAAAACATTTTACTAAGTAAAATGTGAAAAAGATGTGAATTGGTCCATAGTACTGACAATTACGAAGGTGCGCTACACAATTGAGAATTCTACGAAATAATTTAACGACATTCCACTTCCTATTTAACTTAAGTAGAACGGGGAAACTAATGAAATCGAAGCGGTTATCATTTCCTGATACCTAGGTGGGTAGGTTCTGCTGCACACCTAGGGTGGTGGATGTAGAAATTATAGATACCAAAAAGACCAGCAGAAACAAAAACATTCATGTTGTCGTCTGTTTTTGACTTGAAACTCGTGCAGCCATCACCTTATGAATTAGAGCATACTTATAACCGTTTAATGTCCACATACTTACATTGGAATAGAAATTTTATCAGAAAAAAAAAATAGCCAAAGGCACTTTCTTGAACTCTCTAAAGAAAATCTTGAGATTTCAGGAAAGATGTGACAAGTCTCCTTCGTTCATAGGCCGCATTTGTGGAAGTGGAAAAAATAAGCCTTCGTCATAACACCATAATACTTATTTATTTGTTTTGATGAAATAATTCCTACATTTCGGATGAACTAATAGTAAACAGAAGCAAATCAAAAAGTTAATACAAATTTATGGCCCCAAGAGCATGAAAATGAAAAATTACTTTTTCTTCAGTATGGTGTTAGCCGGCTCAAAAGTTAGAAGAGAGCCGACCGATATGTGAAGGCTCGATGTAACTCATCAAAATGGTCCTGGTTCCCCCTACTTTGGGATAGAAATGAGATCGAGATTTGACACTTTGACGGGATAAAACGAAAGTTCCAGAACTCCAACGGAGAAAAGCTTTTAGCTCAATTGCCGCGGCTTCCGATTCCATCCAACGCTCCACTTTTACTCGAAGAAAGCAGAAACAATCAACACTTCATGATATTAGGGGGACGTTTACAAAAAAAAGAAAACCTTTGTAAACTGAAAAATCATTTCCCCATCTTCCAAAACCTTAGCATTTTTTGAAACAGCTAAGAGTCCGATTCGATACTAGAAAGACAGGAGACCAAGCACCCAATAAGCCTGAAGGTTGTTGGCTCGGAAGTGGACGGTGGGTAACAGTGTTAGCCGTCTTTTGGTGAAATGATACTGCTCCAGCTCACTAAATCATAGTGAACTACCCTTAATTCACTTTGCAGTGATAAAATATGGATATACTAACACCTAGCTTTCGAAAATAATTCGCGGAAACAGTCGGAATTATTCACCCAGGGGTACCATATGAAACCAAACATACCTACTTAAAGAACGTCCGAGCAAAAANAAAAACAACGTAGAAGAGTTTCCCAGTGAGTAAGATGCTTCCAAAGCAAGCGTAACAAACTTTCAAACGGTGACTGTCATCAAAAGAGTGCTTGCTGTAATCTTGTGATAGAATCCATTGTCGTTTTTAGAGTTTGTTCATGAAAGCTTGATCTCTCAAACTCTATATTATAAAAAATATTATAATCCTATATTATTAAAAATTTTAATGCTGCTTTCATCAGCTCCTTAGCGGACGCCAGGAACCAATAGTCTGAAGCTCTCAATAATTTACTTGACGGATCCGCAAGGCCGTTGCACCATATTGGCGACAAAAACTCGGCTGTGGAATAAACACAGAGTTCAGACAGATGCCAAAAAACCCTAATCCGACGACTGACTGAGTAACCAGAAGGAAATGTTTGTTCGAAAGGAAATTCATTAGTGGAAGCCAGGAACCAACAGTCTGGGGGATTCTATAAAGTATGTCATGCATGAAGAGAAAACCGTGAAATTGGTAGGTCGCACATCTGTCGAGCTGTCAGAACATAAATTCACCTATTCTTGCATGACTGATGGGATTATTAGAGATGCCCAGCTGTGTGTGTCTAAGATATAAGGGATATGGGCAGGGTTGTACTTTAAAAGCTCCTCAAAGCACAGACACGATAAAAGTAGTTTATGAGATCTAGGACGAATCCCTGGCCCTCGAAGATAGAATATGGGTCATTGCGGGCCGAAAAACAGCCTAGATATGGCGTAATAATGACACAAAGAATGACTCAAATGTTTAATACACTGAGAAGTCGGCAAGTTCCAATAGCCTTGTACAGGATGGTAATCCATAATGGAACACATGTTCGAAAACTGAAAAGCCTTGGGACTGAGCCGATGGTTCTGTTCTGAACTGTATCTCAGGTGTGTGGATGTCAGGACGATAGTGGTGAATGACAGAAAACAGAAAAATGATGGTTGCAGGATATAGAAACATTGATTGCATCCCGTCCTGATCACAACGGAAGGCCATTTTTTGCTTACAGTGGCCAGCTGTTAAAGTAAATGTACAGATTGGATCTCGCCTTCCATGCCGTTCCCCCCATCTTAACCTCGTACCACACAATGAATACTGGTGCTAATTGGTAAGAGCCCTTACGCTCCGCAGGCCTGAATCAAGCCGTTATCTCTCCCAAAAAGGGGATCTCGAAATTATAGCGGACTAGGTTATTGAGGGGTAGGGTTTCTTAAACATTAGCAAAAAATGCACAATGACGAACAAAAGTCACGAAACAAAGAAGCGTCACTATTTGGCAGCCTGCTCCAGTTGATACCTAACTTATCTCATGCATGCCATCAATGTGTAGCTCTGCTTGACCACCCCTTACGGATTTCCATACCTCTTCAGGTAATTTAAAGTACGACCACTGATTTAAGTGAACCTTATAACGATTGCGCTCTTAGTTACTTAAGTGCTCTTGGAATTTGCATGAATAGGTAACGAAATAAGACAAAACATTTAGGCAACGGCGAGCAATCGAAAAATAATTGCGTTACTGCTTTGAAAAACCACTCAGCGAAGAGAAACATGAGAATAGACAAAATTGACATAACAAGATTCGGGGAACCATTCAAAATAGAACTGGCTCGAAATCTCCAGATTTGTAACACTTCTACTCTGAAGACACAGAATCAAGAGGTCCTCAAAACGGAAAAACAAGCAACAGGAGACCCCAGAATGAAGAGAAGATCGATTCTGAAAGCAGTCTACCAAACTAAACTCGAACTAAAGAAAAAATCAGTAACAACACCGAAGTGGAACTCGGTCAACTGGTGCCCGACACCTTTTTTCTTATATTCGGATTTGATATTTCCTTATGTTATTTGTAGCGGTTTTTTAGCGTTTTCAAGGTTCCTAAGGATAAGTTAGATGGCTAAATGCGATGTATAGAAATATTCCCCGCCTACAACCTTTTATGGAGTGACCTTCGCTAAATGGCAAGACCCCAAAATATAGACGTCAAATGTCAATGAGTGTGCGCGCAAATTCGTTAGAATAATGGAACAAGAAGAGCAGAGGTAATGAGCTCTGACATCTTTCAGTGCAAAGCACCATATGACATTTAATATTTTGAAAATTACTCAGGGTAGCTAGATTGAAGGAAAACAGTCAAGCAAAGATCGTGAGAAGAACAGAGCTGTAAATAGCTTCAGTGTGTTCTGTAGTGTACACAGAACAGAAACTAGTGAAAGAACGGTGAGACAAAAAACCTACAACTAGCAAATAGTTAGCTCTAGTTGGGGCTTGAGCCTATACGCAGGGTTCACTGGAACTGCATGTACCAGTTTCATTATTGGATGGACTCTCTATCAAACCCCTGGGCACTGCCGAAAGGGTAGCGAGAAAAAAGGTGCATAGAGCTTGTGAGAGACCAGGAAAGTCGGCTCGAACATTGCATCACTGGATTGCCTTTTCAAAGCACCTATTTAGGCAATTTCCCCAGAACGATGAAATTATCTACATTACTATCCTAGACTTTTGGATCCTCTGATCCATACTACATAATGCTTCGAGCTTCTGCCCATTATAGCGCAAACCAAACATCACTGATTTATCGTCCAGCAAAATTGCTCAGTTCATAAATCATTTTTTCCTACGCAATCTATTCACTAGTCCGCTGTTTGCGCAACTCACACAGTCCCGTGAACGAGTCTGCTTCTCACCTAAACCCTTCTATTTTCTAATGATTTTCTACTCCAACTGAAGAATAAAATTTCGTTACGCATCGAATAAGTTGCTTACAATTAGACTTCCTTACCACATGTCAGAACCAACTGTTATGCAACAAGGAAGGCCTACGTAGCAAATTAATAACTGCTTAACAGAAAAGAACAAATAGGAAACCAAGTAATATGAAGTACAAAACTGGCAATATTTGTGTGAAAAATGTTAAAATGCAGAGCGTTCGAAGGGTATACGATACAAGTTTCAAATCACCTTGGATTGATGTCAAAGATGGAGCTGCAACCTATATAGAAGGTAAGAAAGGCGCCACCAAGAATGAGTACTAGAAAAGAATGAGTCAAGAATTTGCTGCCTACAAACACTTCAGAAAACGTGACAGGAATTATCAAATGAGAAAACCAGGCAGAGGTCTGCGTCGAGAACGGATCAAATATCGAAAAATGATATTAAACACCAAGAAGAAATTTGAGAAACGGATAAAAAAAGAAAAGAAAAAAAAACTAGGTCAGGGTGTCATCTGATGACAACAGTAATATAAAATGGGAAGATGACATCAGTGTAATGTAGAAAAAGCGGTTTTAGTGTCTTTGAACCCGTGCGTGAGATCGTAAAGACCACGATAATGCATTTACCACTAAAGTCAAGAGAGTTAGCTACTTCCAAATCCAATTTCTTTCCATTTTCCGACGTCTCACAGGTCTTAATATTGTTAATTATAGAATATCTCCTCAAAATCATTTGAGGACATGAATCTAACCAAAACTTCACAAAACCTGCAAAAACGTTCTGAAAAAATTGGATGAACGACGACTCAGTTCAACGACAATATTGATTAACCAAAACTAATTCGATCCTCTTCAAAATCGTTCACCTCCCAACCTCTCCTAACAAAGAAAAAATACCAGGTACAGCAATATCGGAAGGCTGTTATTCCTGATCAAAAGCTTAATCAGAGGATTGCGCATCACATAGCTAAGAAATAAAGGAAAACAAGACCACAAAGAAAAAAACACGCAAAGAAAACTTTTTGGCTTACCTGCTGTTGTTGCCGCGCCTTCTTACCCAGCCATGTTTGTGCGGTAGGAATCGGCTGGGTGAGAATAGAACCACTCGCTGACTCGTCAGAACGCTCCTCGAACTGAAAGACACGAAACTATTCCGGATTTCATTAGAAGTAAAGAAAGATTACGCTAAAAGCCGATACAGTCTTATGGCGAAACTTTACTCCAGAACTCCATTGACTATTCTCCGATATTAAAAGGTGATTATTGCTAAGCATGTATGGCCCCGGCTGTAATCGCATAATGTACCTGCTTGGTCCGGACAGGCGCAGCATTCTATCGAGCCGAAAATGAGTTCCATTCTTAAGGATAGAATTATTGAATTTCCTGTCGTCTGGTACTCACTATTACGCAGGAATTAATTGCATTCAAAGACCGTTACGATTCTAAGTAGTAGTCAGACTCTCGCGAACATACTGCAAAATGGTAATGGTCAACATCGTGATTCTCATCTTTTACTCCTTAGTGTTTATTATCGTTAAGTGAAGACGGCTGTAATATGAGCAATCAGAGAAGCAATGCTTCACTTCATCAAAAATGAGCTTTAACTCTTTCACAGCTGACTGGCAATGGCAAGGATAAAGAAGAATACAGGAAATTTCGGGATAAATTTTCCGCGCAGCTACCCATGGCGAGCGCGCAAAAGAAGGAAAGCGTGCCAAGGGCAAGCATTGCATTGTATGGAAGTAAGCTTCGTTCCGTAAGATGAGAATGATTCAACAAAAAGCATTTGGATGCCTACGATTTCCAAGTGGTTTTTGTAAATGGTTTCTCCATTTTTTTCTAACAGGACCGTATAAGGTGCCTGTTATGAGGGAGTGCATGAAAAAAATCTGCAGTGGGAAAAAAGATGATTTCAATGCAATTTCATGTATCAAAATGGGGAGAACGGACACACTCACGCTATCGTATTTCTGACTTCTCCCCTCGCGCAATAAAATACCACTGAGAGTCCCCGTGAAATTCGAGTGTTCAAGAAAAACCTTCATCTCGTCTTACGAAAGCCATAAAACGGACCATTTGTCAAAGATTTTCAGACTCTTGTAATCAATAAAACAAAAAAAAGAAACACATTAAAAAGCTAATAACGCAATCGATTTTCAAAAAATTGATTCGTTCACCTTGTGGAAAACGACGACTGGACGCTCAGTTGATTTCGTGGCAGCTTGCTGCTGGTCTCGACGATGTTTCACGTAGCTTTAAAATAGGGATATTGAAAGAAGAACCAAAGAAACAGAGAAAAGAATCCGGTAATTCAAGTAAGTCCACCGCACTACAATACCTGCTGTAGATGCTATAAAAATGATTTCCATAGTAAAAACTAGAGTTACCGTATTCGGAGCAGAAGTCTTCGCGGGATGCTCAGTATGAGCACGACATCGTCAATGGACATTGACGAAACCTCAACGTTGTTGATGGAGAGAATCTCATCGCCAGGCCGAATAACGTCACCGTATCTGAAGAAAATTCATTAAAGAATCTTCTCAAAACTGAAAGACAGATTTTCTAGCTAGTAGCAGTTAATCACATCCAGGAAAGGTGGCGCCAGAACCCTCAAAACATTAAGAGGAAAGTATTCAGCCAAAAAGATTCAAACGATAATAAATTGCCAAAACACTGCAATCCTCGAAGATTTGTACGATAGCAGAAAAGTACGGTAAAAACGTGCTAACAGCCGCGACAGCGAGGTACTGCATCCACAAAACAACTAATGACATCTTCTGAGGTTGAGGTACGAATTGCATGCAAGTGGTTGCTACTTATACGATGCTCAGAAATGCTCAAATACAAATCCATAACGACTTATGACAAAAGTCTAGCATACGTGGAGCATGACAAAGATTTTTTTCGAACGTCAAGCAAATTCATCAAATGTATTCACTTTTTAGGGGTTGGGAAGTCCTAAAAAACAGACCCTCGTGGGCCGTGATGATTAAACGGGCCCTGGGGCCGTGGAAAAAATTAATAAAGTGGTGCAAACCTACAAGATACTGTATGAACCCGCGAAGTTTTACAAGAAAAAAAAAACGGATCTTTCGATATGCAGATTATTAACTACACGAGTAAAAAAAAAACAAAAAGAGAGCTATTTAAATATTGCAGGGTTCAACTAACGATCCAGAAGAGAGATTATGATCTCCCAAATATCGCGCAAAACTATTACATTCTTTAAAGGAATCACTATATAAGGATGCGGCTAAAATGCTGATGGCGTCAGGGCACGGCCTAGATGAACACTTCCACGTAAAATGACGGTGAATGAAAGACAACATGATGTGATGTGATATATAATACAACAAACATGCTAAGGTCTAACTGCACCCTGACAGTATCGATATTGAAAAATGCGCCATATGAATGTACAAAGAAAATCAAATTGACAAGTAAGTATTCCCAAGACCTTGGGTTTTCAAATCTGAACTCAAAAGCATGTGGTAAAAAACGACTTACTTTTCTAACTCGGAGTTTTCTCCGAAGCGGCTAGCAAACACTCCGTGAGTTCTATCGATACCGTTTCCCTCTCTCAGATACAGACCGAGAGACTGACCGGGCTTCTTTATAATCTCAATGAGCTGCTGGGTATAGGCCTCATTTGAGTTTGGGTATCGCGTATCCGACCTATAATATTCGTTTTTTAATAATATAATAAGGGGCGGAGGTGGTGTAGTGGCAAGTGGCGCACTATATCACACGCACAGTCACGGGTTCGAATCGCGGATCGATGCCCGCCTAGGCCACCCAACCTTCCTTCCCCTCGGAGTCGGTGGATTGGTACCACTCGCCTGGGAGGATAAAAGCACTGACTTTTACATCGGCTGGCCACCACAAGTCATTGTATAGGCCGCATACGAACTCATTACGCCACTACGATTCTGAATGGAAGTCGAGTGCGGGGGCGCATCCCTCAGACGGGATTGATTAACGCCAAAGTTCAAACTTTAAACTTATAATATATTCGGGGGTGGGAAGTTGACAATGTCTATGCAGATGGGTGAACCACTATGTATACTCAGCAACCGATTACACCTACACGAGCTCAAGTATAATGGAAAAGAAAAACCAATTACTTGTCCAATATCCTAGCGCTGAGCCCTTGCAGTCCAGCCTGTGTGAGCGTACTCGTCCCTTGATCGACTGCTCGAATCTTTCGATAGACATCGTCCGGCAAGCGGCCGCCGCCTATTTTTGTGAATGATATTTCAAAGTCTTCAATAAGAAAGGATTTATTCTAAAAAAAAGATGTGCTGCAACAGGCAGAGTGCTGCTTCGAGAGGGTGCAAGCTCTGTGGATACGAAAACGGCTTTATAAAGAATGAGCACATTACTCAAAGTTGACAATTGAACATCAGTAACTTGGCAGAATTTTAATCCTATTCAGAGACTGAAGCAATTTTTGAGTGCGGTACACAACGAAAACCACAAAACGGAGCCGGACGTGAAAGATTCAAAGACTCAAAGGCTCGAACTGAGTAGGTATTATGCTTATCCCGACGAAAACTATAAAAGCACATCAACTGCAGATTGAGTACAGTCAGGGACAAACATACATATCCCATCTGTTCAGCAGAACGCGCTTTACTCGCCTACCAGCCAGCTGCAGGTTTTTTTCCGATTTTTTCCTAGATTTTATAAAATCCGTCACCAAGATCTATGTCGTATAACACGCACCTAGCATATGTAATAAAAGCGGGTTGAGCGGGAAGGAACTGTCATACATCAAACTGCTCTAAAGGACTGGCTGAGTTCGTTTCAGAAATGACTAGGCCTCCAATGGCGGTAGTTAAGTGTAAAAAACCCGCTAGAAGTAAGTAAAGCATAAAATCAACCGCAAAGCTAGTGACGACCCTATCCCATTCACAGCAGACCGAAAGTGCTTAATGTGGACTGTCATTGAGAATGCTACCGTAATGCGTAATAGCCAAGTGGGAATGCAAAGTTATATTTTGAGGAATTGAGAAAGGATCAGGGTTGTTTTGCGGTCTACGAAACATAGGGAAATACCTTTTTGGAGGGTAAGTTGCGTTAAGAAAAAGCTTCATGCTGAGTTAAGGATTTTAGACCAAGTAGGTGACTAGGGGGAACGAGCGAACAGATGCAATCTACAAAAATCACCCTTTTAATGTAATTGAATGCCTCGACTTCAAGAGCTGAGCAATGGTAAGATAGAGAAACTATTGAAGGACAAGAATCTATCTAAACAGGTGATACAAAGTGGACATCGTAATGCTGCACTGAAGTCAAGAAGTAAGAGGAATAGAAAAATGCTACTAGAATAAAGATTATATTGACAAATATCTCCCCAACTCATAGGAAACAATTAGTGAGCAAGTTGCCAGTCGGATATCGTAATACAACACTCAAAATACAGAACTACCTGTCACAAATTGAGAAAATCTTCATAAGTCTTCTCAGGCAGTGAATTTAAACTTCACTTTTTGCCCCAGAAACCACTCATAAACTTTGACTCAATCGAGGATGGGCATGTGAAAAAAACGGTCGTCATCGGAAAAACGTCATATAAACAAGTAAAAAAGCCATCACTATACATGGGACCCTTAGCCTATCTTCAACTCCTCGTAAAGCCACGATATTATATTGGTATTCAAAAGGTTCCCATTTTCTAGTTCCACTAGACATTAACGAAATTCACAAAAAGAATAGCAAAACATACGTTGCACTGCAGTTGGCTAATGGACATTTGGACAATAGACCATTACATTCAATGAATATCACTTCCTTTATTTTTACATATTTCCCCGACATTTAGTCGGCACAGGCACCTATTCTGATGGCTGAGGCTAAAGCTCTTACTTGTGCCTCACAGTACAAAAATAAAACCAGTCAAACGGTAAAACAAGGGGGATTATAACAAAGTAAAGTATTGCCGAAAAAGGGACACGAACGAATACAAAATGGGAACGCTTGTCTTTCATAAGCTCTCACAAAAATCGAACTCAAAAAAAATCAAGCATGACTAAGAATGTTAAGTTCTGAGAAGAAAATTCCGTCAATTTGTGACATAGCGATACCGACTTGTCCAATTGGCAACTATGGTATTTTTCGCAAGTTCAAGGATTTTCTCGTTTCTTCGAGCTACTAATTTCTAATTAGCAACGACGGATCGCATGTAATGTTCATTTTTGTAAGCCAACAAAGAACACAGAAAAAGCCTTCGAAACAAATGCTTCGTAGATTCGCGTAAACATAAAATAATGTCAAAATAGCAGCCATATAGCAGGAAATATAAGGAAATGGTATAAGGAAGAATCCAACAGTCAAAAATAAGAAAAAATGATGCCCTTTGCGGGAAAGGGAAAGAAGTGAACGAAAACAAACAGAAAAAGACCAAGTAAACTACGAAAAAATAGCAATAAACAAACAAACCGACCTGACTGAGCGGCCATAGACGTCGTGGAACGGACGTTGCGCTTTGCCTGCAACGAATCCAGCTATGTATAGGATAAGCTCGCGCTATGGGCACACTGCCAACTATTGATCGAGGGCGTTTCGAGATCAATACAAAGCTGTGGGTGTGTGTGAGTCCATGTCTGTGTGCGTCCTCGTGTATGTCTGGGGTGGACCCCCATCTCGTTTCTCCACTACACTCACATCCGGCTATTTCAAAGCAAACATTAGAATGGAATAAGTAACCCGTAAAAGGCGCTGTTCCTGCATGAGGGTTTTAGCCAGCCAGCCGCCACCCAGCTGTCGGCTGCCTCAATTGGGGGTGTCAGCAAGTGACTATGGGGTAATCGAAATTATGATGACTTATGACCAAATCGGAATAAAACCAAGGTTGATACGTTCTCACTAATGATATCTTTTCAAGCCGACAGTGCCGAGTGATATGACACAGAAAATTTACGAGTTCAAATTAATACTTAATCGCATCAATGTCCCATTGCTTTCACTGCTTCTGGTCCCGATTTTTATAGAACTTAGCTTTTACAAGTAAGTTGTGTAAAATAAAATGGAGAAATTAAAAATAATAAGAAAAGAAGCAGGATAGGACTACGGTAAGAATTTGGATCCGAATTGCAAGGGTGTAGATTTAGTATAATGGGAAAAGAGTGAAGATACTGGATCGACTTTTCCACGTTCCTATAAGGTGTTCAATATGCAGTTACAGAATACCAAAATAGATGTTTCAGAGAAAACATATCAAACAAAGAAAAATCTATGAATTCGTAATCGAAAGAAGATATAAGCACAATGAAAGCAATACTGTCAAATGCATGGCTTACTCTCGTGTGAGCGATCAACAAAAGTTTCCTGAGACAGACTCTTGCTTCAGCTTCGAAAGAAGACTGAACGTATTCGTAAGAGCCTGTTCGGTGGGGGTCCATTGCGGTTCACTGCTTTTACCGAACGATTGTATCTTCATAGAAGGATGGCGTAGTCCTTGCACCAGATTGGCGGGGTTGGTTCATTTTTTGGCTTGTCTCCAATATGACTGAGGTGCACGCGATGTCAAAATACGATTTCACTGACTGGTAAGGATAATAATGACAGCTCCGTACTGACGGATCCCTTAGAAGGGATTACGATTCAGGCCAAATAAGACGATTCGGGAAATGATTTTGTAAAAGGCATCCTCCTTCTCAGATGAATGTCCCTTTAATCAATGGCATCCTCCTCAGATGAATGTCCCATCTTACTTCCTATATATCCTCTCCTTCCCAACGAAAGTTGCAAGGTTTCCTTCTGTTTACATAATATTATACACTGAAATTGATTCGCACCGTGCACGGCCATAACGAAAATGTCACCTACATCGATAATCGCTACAAAAATAACTTTCGCTCAGATGGAAACATTAAAGGCATCGTTTACGATAAATTTAGGCTACCCTTTTTCGAAGGGAATTCATAGAATTACTCTAGAATAAAGCGATAACAACGAAAAAAGCGCAAGCAACGATGAACAAAAAGAAATAGAAAGGGTCAAAAAAGAGCTGGAAAGGGGGTTGGACGAGTTTCACATTGGAAGAACGGCGGTTAAGGGAGTGTTCGGGCGAGTGCAGGAAGGCGACGCAATGTCTGCAATAGCAGACCACACACCCAAGCAGACACATCGCTCCAATGCGAATGTGGTGAAGGACGATTAGAACTCGTAGTCAGCCTAGCGAGCGGCGCAGGCCTCCCGTCCCCCACTATTCAAACCATGCGCAGATCTCCGAAACCATTTTTTCGTGAACAGTGCCTTTAAAGTGCTCAGCTTTTGCGCCTCGGGAAGTACCGCCTTTATCCCATAAGGTCCATATGAGAAAATGCCTTTTCCGCAAAATTACAGTGGAAATAAGTTCGCAAGTGAGTTATAGCTTCTTTACGTTCACAATTTCCTCCAGAGATTACTTTGTACCAAGCAGTAAAAAGATTTAAAGTGTAGTATATTCCCGCTCTCGAAAAGATCTAACTTTTACGACAACTTATGTGATCGAAAAGTTACGTCACGAAGCTGGCTCAGCAGGAGAATTCGTCCACTTCAAAAAGTGACCCGTAATTTGGACTGCGGTTTGTTCAGAGAATCCCTTTGGATTGTACACTCTAGCTATGGGAGATAGGAAAAAGCGTTCATTACTGATAAGATTCGCCATGCATTCAATTTCCATTCAAAGGGGAAGAGCAACAAAATGTATTATATAATTGACCTATACAGTGATTTCTAGAAACAGCCAGTTGCTCCTAGACATGTCAATGTAAAATAGCGGCCTGAAGCTGGGTTAAGATGTGTCTGACTAACCCACAGTAGAGCTCACAGGTTACAAAAATTTTCGAACTTTCCCTTAAGATTTTTTAGTAGAAGTTGAAATCCGCATATCATAGAAAAATCTACATTTTGGCTAGAAGTGACGAGAATGGTGAAAGAATGGTCCGTTTAAGTAAAAAAAGAGAGAAACCCATTACAGTAAGCTTGGAATCACGAAATCGTTAAAAAATCAATTGCTGCCGGTCTCTCCTGAAAAGGTCCAAAGGCGGAGCTCCGTTACAATCGCAGCTGCGTTGCAGTTGTCTGTATCGGACTCGAAGGGTCTTCAGGCCAGGGTCACTGTAGGAGGCCAGGGCTCAACCTACTGTAAGCAAGTGTGAAAGGTGTTTTATAGGAATTTAAGAGAATGAACGTTACATCTTAGCATCAATGATGGTCACCGGACCGCCTCGATCACCCTGGGAGATAGATTCTGGAAATATTATCCGCGAAGAATGTCAAAAACGTTTTCCCCTTCGGATGCACTGAATGAAAAGTTCGACGAATATTATTTCTGTATAAGGTGGTAGGAAGCTATTGAACAAAAAAGTATGAGATGCTACGGTTGACAAAAACGAGAATTCAGTCGTGGCTTTCATAGTCCACGATTTGGCCCGCGAGCGAGCGGGCGAGCGATCGAGCGATTGGGGCAGCGCTTGCCCGCGGTATCGACCGCGATTCAGTGGAAAAAAAGGGCCAAGCGCTGCCCCAATCGTTTGTTCGCTCGCGGGCCAAAACGTGGACTATGAAAGCAGCCAGTAGGGCACGTTGGTCCTTCAGTAAACTCGGCTATGGGTCGTGGCTCGAACGAGTGCGCACGACGCAACGGTAAATTCCCAGATACCCACGAAGCGCTCCGTGACCCCGACGTCCCTTTTGCGCTATATATGTGACAAGTTATTTAAATAAGGTTATGTCGTAAAAGGAAATGGTCCGTTCGTGAAGTCCTGCGTTCAGTGCATTTTATTT